AATCTGTTCTTTTTTTCTTATAAAAGGCTAAATAAAACAAAAAAATATTTGTGTTAATTTTTGATGGTGTAACTTTACAAATGGCACCCCATACCCCCCCTCAAAAAAACAATGTAAAAGGTTTTATCCATTGATATTTGGAGCTTTTTGTGTCTAAATGGTTCAGAAACCAAAGTTAAGTGGATGAACAAACTGAATGTGCAGGTAGCCTACAAAAATGAAAATAAGTTTAAAGAAGCAGGTATTGACCACAGAGAAACCAGCAGCAACTTAAAAAGCCAGAAGAAATACAGATCAAAACTACTTTAAAGATTAGACAAAAGTATTTATTTATTTTTGACTGAAATGTTCTTACCCTCTACTGTCAGTTTAGCAGAGCAGGAGTACTCTCCAACCTGCACACTGTACATCCCCTCATCCTCCAGCGCCACCTGCTGGATGATGAGTTTGCGGTAACAGCCCTCGCTGCAGATCTCGAAGCGTTCTGAGGGCAAGATGACGTTGCAGCCTTTGTACCAGCGGATGCTACATCTGGGGTTGGACACTGTGCAGTCCAGCAAGACACGGCTCTTCTCCAGGGCAACCTTATCCTGAAGAGGCTTTACTATGTTGACCGGCAGCTCTGAGAGGGAGTAAGTGTTTCATAATTAGAAGAAATTATTCATCTTTACAATAAAAAAACTGAAAAGATTGTGTTTCAGGTCTATGGATTTTAACTCCTGAGACCCTACGTCTTCGTATGTGGACGTTTCATCTTTGCCTCTCTAACCATAGTGCATCATTTTTTCAACTTTAAACATTTGGCTTCATTAATAAATACTACCAGCACCCTCTAGTGATCCAATACAATATTACACTCACTGGGTGAAAACAAGATGGCGGGGATCCCAGTAAAAAGCTTCTACAACAACTCTGGCAAGAAAAATAACCAAGGGAAAAACCCAAGTTACATTTCACACTTGAAACCAATGTATTTATAAACAGTTACATCTTTAGCTTCATAAGGCATGCAAACGTAACTTTTTTTACACAACTGATGCAAAGTACAATGTCCGTAAAGATAAAGTCCTCATTTGAGGACATTGGGACTATAATTTAAATATTAATTGTGCCATTAGTTAGGGTAAACCTTGTGACGGCCCTGCTGCTTAGTTAATTGCAGCCAGCTGCCACCAGTTTCCTTAATTGTGCTTCCTCACAGGTCTTCCTTAGGGGGCGTGGCCTGTGCTCCTTTTAAGCGCACACCTGGGAGCTGCACGGTGAGCTGAATGTGGAGCTGCACACAGAGCTGCACACAGAGCTGCACACAGAGCTGCACACAGAGCTGC